CACCTCTTGGCAGATGGAGATCAAACTCGAAGTTAATTGGGAGGATTTTTGAAATGCCGTGCGCTATAGCAGCTTTTGGAACAGCGACTTCTCCTGACTTTGTGTTAGGGTGAGCTGGTAGTAACCAGGAAAAACGTGTGTGGGAAGCAACAGTGTTATTTTAACCTTTAAAACTGCTGCCCGGGTGTTGGTGGTGTTTGTGTACCCATTAGGCTGAACGTTGAAACCTATGACTGCATGATTTAGTTCCTTGTGCTTGCTTTATATCTCCTGCCTCCATTTTCTGAGCCTTTTCCTGCTCGATGTCCTTGGAGGTTGCTGCTTGCAGAGCTCGTTCCTGCAGAGCCTGATGAAGGGGCAGATAGCTGACCGCTTCAGGGTGCGTGGCATGCCGGTCTGACCTGAGACATCCCTGGCACGAGCCTGGGCATCAGGGAAGGGAGAGCATGGGTTGTGTGCAGGAGATAAAGGCTGCTGGAAAAGCCGCTGTGGCAGGTTAGGGATGAGCTGAGCATGTGGGAAAGCGTGAAGTTCTGGTGGGGTGAGCGGGGAGGCGAGGTGATCGCCTCCATGCCAGCTTGGAGAGGCCACTCCTGGCCTGTTCTCGTTGGTGTCTCAGCAGGAAGCTAATAGCCAAACAAACCACGGTGTCTTCCCCCTGTACACATTTAGGAAGTAATTTGGTTGTCATATCAAAATACTTGGGCAGGGCAAAGCTTCATTGCAAAGAGACTCCAGCAGAGGAGAGCAGAGGAGAGGAAGGGCCAGAGTGGCGAGAAATACCTGCTTGGGTTTGAATTAAAACCTGAGGGCAGCGGTGTGGAAGCTAATAGCCAAACAAACCACGGTGTCTTCCCCCTGTACACATTTAGGAAGTAATTTGGTTGTCATATCAAAATACTTGGGCAGGGCAAAGCTTCATTGCAAAGAGACTCCAGCAGAGGAGAGCAGAGGAGAGGAAGGGCCAGAGTGGCGAGAAATACCTGCTTGGGTTTGAATTAAAACCTGAGGGCAGCGGTGTTGACTGGCGAAGGGCAGCTAATGCAGGGAGGTAAGGATGTGTGGGAGGCTGCGTGCTCCTGGCTTTGGAGGGCACCCGCACGTCTGCCTGACAGAGGCAGCCAGCTGATGGAAACTGGGGTGCTGGTGCTGCGAGAGGAGCCTGGAGCTCGGTGCCACGGCATAGCGCGTGGATCTGAACCTCTGGAGCCCTGCATGTTGGCCTGCCCTCTCCTAAATGACCTGTGATGAGCAGCAGTCCCTCTCTTAGGGACACCCGTACCAGGAGCGCTCTCAAAATCTGTCGTGGCTTGGTGCATCAAGTGCAAAGTCACCTGGTGCAGCTGCTCGTACCTCCCTAGATGGCTGGGAGTGCTTTGGGATTGCTGCACATCTTCAGCCGATGAAGCCTAGGACCTGCAGAGGAGCCACCGTGTCCTGGGTTGATGTTGTGTCGTGTTGAGTTCAGCCTCTGGCTGATGGGCGTCCTCTCCTGCAGCCCCAGCCCCTGCTGCAGGTGGCACGGCTGGGGGTGTTGACAGTCCTGGGGTGGGATTTTTGTTAATCGGGGCAATTCCTTCGTGGGCACACCCACAGCTGCAAATATGTCTGTGGTGGGTGCTGGGGCTGGCAGGGCAGGAGAAGAGGTGTAGACAGGTTTCCGTAGAGGTGGCTGGTGTGCCCTGGGAGGGCGTCACGGCACGAATCCAGAATGGCTGGGTGGTGTCTGGACAGGTTTTAGTTTTGCTGGGAACTCTAAAGGAAAGCAATGCCCTCCGGCCCTGGCAGGGCTTTATGGTGCTGCAGAACATGAAGACTTTCTCCTGGTTATTCTGCAGCCCTGGGAGAGCTCTTAGTAGCCAGCAATTGGGCATTGACCACCTTCTCTTGGCCTGTACCATGTAGGGAGAAGCTGGCAGGGGAAGAGTTTGCTATTGAGATGGCAAAACAGTTCGGGCAGTGGCCAGCTGTAAATCCCAAACCTTTTCCACTGCATGCTCCTGGAAAAACTGCTTTTTGAATTCCCTCCATCACCTCCTTTCCAAGGAGCCAGCATGCACTGCCATGCCATGCTGCAGCTGCTCTGCCTGGGCACCTTATTTCCCATCACCAGAAACCTGCTGGGGAGGTTGATTCCCTGATGCTACGTTTAAAAAAAAAAAAAAAAAAATTTCCTTGAGAGAGAGAGCATGCTGCCAAAATCTTGCACTGGCAGTGTAAAGCCGGGACTGTCTCAGCTGGGAGAAGAGCAGCTGCAGCAGATGTAGCTTGAAGATAGCGGCAGGCCCTGCCTGATTCAGGGCGGTCGTGCAGGACAGGCCGGTTCTTGTGGTGCCCCAGACCTCTGCAGGCAAAATGTCCTTAAATAGTCAAACATGAAGGTGAGTACATAGGAATGGAGAGCGGGCTGCAATCAGGTCCTGTGAGACTGCAGCCTGGAAGATCGCACCCTGAGAGGGATTTGGGGACCTTAGATGTTGGTGAAAAAGGTGAACATCCAGAGACCGTGCAGCTGAAAAGGCAAGTGTGAGGTTTTTTGCTGTGGAGGAGCGTGTAGGAGCAGGAGGTGTAGGAGCCTCTCCCCCTTGCTGCCCCTGTCCCTGTGAAGCTGGGGGTACATGTCCCAGCAGATCAGTGCTCACCCATTGCCCATCACCTGGGCCCTGCACCCTGCAAGCCATTGGAGCGGGACAGGAGGTGTGCTCCTGGCTGGGGTGGCTTTCTCCTCTTGGCAGTATGGCATCGGTGTCTGCAGGTAGCTCAGGGACATTGCCCACTGTGGGGGCTCCTGTGCCCCACCTGGCACCCAGGGCCGTGGAGCCACCGGTTGGGTCTTGCCTGTCTGTTTGTTGGGGGAAGTTGAGCAGCTGCTTCTGGTCTCGTAGCTGGTTTCCGTATGCTAATTGTCTCTGTATGGAAGATTTAACTTGGGGCGGTTCATTAGCAAAAGCCAGTCCTTTACGAGTGCTGACTCAGAGCCCAGCCCCACCCCTCTTGCCCGGAGTGGTGCCAGCACACCCAGGTGGAGGTGTGCCCCTGTTTGGATGTCTCTTGATCCCCAGGCCTTTGGGTGAGAAATTATCTGATGGGCAGTGCCTGGCTGCACAGCTGATGTGCAAGCAGAGGTGAGTCCCCAGGATCCTGCCGGTTGCAGACAGCAAGCGTCACCTCTTCCAGGGCAAGGCTGCCCCATGCCATCTGCCCCCAGAGATGGATGTGGCAGGACTGTGTGTGACAATGGGGATGTGGAAGAGCAAGGCTCACATCCTCGGAGCAGCTTATAGCTTCCCTGGGCTTGTGCCTCCACTCTCAGACCTGTAGCAGGACATGCCCTACCAGGCATGGAGTTGGTGGTGGTGGTCCTTGTGTGGTCCTCCGTGGGCATCTGGGAAAGCCTCCTGCCCCTACAGGAGCTGGGAGCCCTGCTCTCCGGTATTGGAGCACTCTCGTTTTGTGCTGTGCCCTTGCAGGCAGCCCTGAGCTGCCTGCGCTCTGCCCGCTGACCGATAGGCACTGCAGATGGATGGCAGGGGCTGCCACCCCACGCGCCCTGGGACACAGGTTCCCGTCGTACATCCCTGCAAGAGGGGCAGCTGGAACACGTGCTGGTCGCATCCTGCCCAGTGATGCTGAAGGGATGGTGATGCCTACTTCCATCTTCTTTCACACCTCGCTTTCCCTTGTAGATACTTCAGGTGGTGGTACAAGAAGACCCGCATAGAGAAGAAACCTGCCTTCATTGACCTCTTGTGTGCCGTTCCTCTGCAGCAGATCTATGGTCAGCCTCCAGTTTGGGCGCTGGGGTGGTGCAACAGTGTGCTGGGTGGGCAGGGATTCACATGGGGCCATCAAGGTGCCTAGAGAGGGGGAGTGGGTCAAGGAGCTTCTGGGGTGCGGGCAGTGCCAAGGGGCCTCTAGGTGAGGGTGAGGACCCACAGGGAGGGTCCTTGGGCCGGACCCTGCCACAGGGGAATGGGGATGCTAATTTCGGGTGTCTTTGCCAGGGTGCCCGCTGGGCGGGATCGGGGGAGGCACCATCACCCGTGGCTGGCGGGGCGAGTTCTGCCGCTGGCAGCTGAACCCTGGCATTTATCACTACGAAACGGTCATTGCCGACCAGGTAGGTGCGGCGGGGTCTGTGAGGGCTGCAAGTGGCACTGCAGCAGCCTGGGCGGTTGGGGCCTCTGCTCTTGGGCTCATCTCATCCCTTCCATGTTCTCCTCTCCTCCCCAGTTCACGGTGTGCTTGCGTTGCAAGGGGCAGACAGTTTACCAGCAGGTCCTGTCTGTGGAGAGACCCAGCACTCTGCAGGGCTGGAACTGGGGCTACTGTGGCCACTACGCCTTCTACCATGCCCTCTACCCCCGTGCCTGGATGGTCTACGACCTCCCGGGGCAAAACGTGGTGCTCACTTGCCGTCAGGTCTCTCCTGTCATCCCGCATGACTATAAGGTAAGGAGGTGACGGCACCGTGCTGGTTGCAGCCTGTCCCATGGGAGCGCCGGGCCACACCGTGCTGCAGTAGCCAGGCTGGTGTGGAGCAGGCAGGCAGAGCTGCCTGCGTGGTGGGGGGGAAAGGATTGGTGCAGCAGAGATAAGGCTGTCCTGTGAGATGCTGTCAGGACAGGCCCTTGGGATGCACTGAGCTCAGCCACCCATTTGGGTAGCCAGAGGCTTGGAGCTGGTGAGTTTTTGACCCCTGTGTGTCCAGGGATGCTGCAGTAGAGGAGTTCCTTGTCCTTCCTGTCCAGCTCAGCATTGCCTGAAGACAACCAGGCTTGCCACCTTGTTAATGTTCTTTCCCAGTGTGGTCTCTTCTGTCCTAAGACCCTGTCTCCAGCTGCCAGGTGTGTAGCAGCGGGACCCTGGAAGGCTTTGCCCCTCCTGGGGCAGTTGGTGCTGGAAGGGTTGTCCCTTTTTCTTTGTGCTTTGCTCTGGCAGCTGCTCCTTTCCCCTCTGACCTGTGCTTTGACTCTTTGTACTGCTTGTTCCCTGCCTTTCGTTTTGTCCTGTGACCATCCCAGCTCCCATCCACCTGGAGTGGCAGGTCCAGAGCTGTGGCCTTCCTGCCCGGAGGATCCGGTGGTAGTGTTTTGGGAATTCCTCAGCCTGTACTTGTGGGTTGGTTTGTTGGCTGGGTGTTCCTGAGAGTGCTTTAGCTGGCTTTTGCCTGCCATCACCAAAGGAAGAGCTCTTATTAGCTGGGCTTTCCCAGCATTTCCCCATGTCTCCACTCAGCAATGCTCACAGGCAGGAGGAACCTCTGCAGCAATGCGGAAGCTTGGGATGGCAGCAAGGGATGCCTTGCCACTCCCGCATGCTGCTCCTGCTCGCTCCCAGCCCTGGGTGAGGGTGGCAGGCTGCACTGCTGACACGCCTGACCTTACTCTTACCCCAGCAAAGCACGTGAGCCTGTATCAACCTGTTGAGCGGATGGGTGGTGAGACACCCATCTGAGCCGTAAACACTGCTTTTTGGAGCACCAGCCCTATATGCAGCATTGTCTGTCTCTGCCAGGACTCCAGCCTGCCGGTGGGAGTGTTCATCTGGGAGGTGGAGAATGGGAGGGATGAGGACGTGGACGTCTCCATCATGTTCAGCCTGCAGAATGGCATGGGAACGAAGGAAGACATGAGCGGAGGGCACTGGAATGAGCCCTTCGCCTTCGAGAAGGAGGGTGAGCGGGTTGCTGGAGTCCTGTTGCACCACTGCACACGCGTGAACCCCTTCACCTTCGCCATCTCTGCCCGGGAGAAGGTAAAGGGCTGGCACCGGTGGTGTGGCTCCTGCTGGGGGGGTTGTACGGCCCTGCTAGGTGTGGGGGGGCTGCTTCCGAGGCAGCTGGTGAAGGATGGGTGTGCGATGGATTGGGGTCAGCACTGGTCCTCGGTGCTTGCCTGACCGCTGGAGCGGGATGTGACTTCCTTGAGGGCACCCTCTTTGGGGGTGGGTGCCAGGAGAGAAGCTGTGGGTGAAGCTTGCAGGGCAGCAGGTGACTAGGTTTGGAGTCAGCATTGCTGGGCAGGTGTGTGGGGAGTGACTGTGGGGTCCCAGGGTTGTTGGGGGTGGACCTGCATCTGCTGCTCAAAAGTACCAGCCCCTGGTGATGCTCTTCCCTTCCCCAGGCTGGCACAGAAGTCACCCACCTCACGGCATTCAATCCTGCAGGATCGGGTAGAGAGGTGTGGCAGGACCTCTTGCAGGATGGCAGGCTGGATTCCCCCGCCGGTGAGTCCCTCCGTCCTCCGTGGGACAGCTGGAGGGGGAGCAGGGGTAATGGGTGGCCACACTGGGCACAGGGCACCCAAGGAAGGGTGGGTTTCCCTTTCTCCAGCCACCTCGGTGCTGTCGCAAAAAGCTCTCGGTGGTGCTGTGGCTCATTCCCAGCTTTAGGCTGTATCCGAGTTTCCCATTGCTTGTCACGCTGTCCTCGTTGTGGTTCTCCAAAAGCTGTTCACACCACTTTGAGGCTGTTCTCGGCTATATTAATTGCACATGCCAGTATCTTGTTAGACTGTGTAGGGTTGCACACTGAATTGAGATTTTTGCTGAGTAGCCAGAGTGATACCCAGCCGCATTCCCTGAGTTCCCATTGCCAGATCTGCAAACTGGGCCCTGTTGAATTTGTTCTAGTGGGCAGTCTGCTAGCAGTCCTTGGGGTTTGGTGCTGCCATCCCTTGCTGTCCTCTTGTTACTGCATCAGTTCCCTGAAGGTCTCTGGTATTTCCGTGGTACTTCAGACATCTGAGGATGATGCAGCTCCCTTGGCAGAAGCCTTGAGGCAGGGTGGTGTGTCCCAGCCCTTGCTGGTAACCTCTTACTGCAATAAAAGGTGACTGTTTGCCTAATGTCCCTACCAGCTTTTGAGCAGGGATAATGCTGACAAACTAGTGATGCTGGCACTGGGCCTTTGCAAGATTTCTTGAAGCTTAAATTACATAAACAAAGCGTTTACATAAATAGTTCCGGAAAACTAAGTTTCCTGCCTGGATGCACTCAGAGCTCTCCAGGCTATAGGGATGTGGTTTTCCTTTGTGCGTGCCAGGCATTATCGTAGTCAGGATCTGTGCTTCTGTTAAAATTGTTGCTTTAATGAGTTTACCTGGTACACATGTCAGAACCAGCATATAATTATCCAGCCACCTCAGGGCTTTTCTTAAATATGGGTGCAGTTCAAGCACCCTGCAAAAAGCTGGAAATTATGACTGTCACTAGAAAGTCAGTGTCTCTGAGTGCAGCGCAGTTACAAAGTCATGGGATGCTCTGTCTCTTCCACTCATGCCTGGTGGCTTTTCCTGCCTGATTTGTTCTTCTGCTTTGATGACTTTTTTGTCTTCCTAACCCCTCCACCCATGGCAGGTATTTTTTTCCTGCTTGCAAAAAGCAGTTACTCACGTGCGGTAATGTCATCCCTTAAAACCCTGGGGATGTACCCTCCAGGTTGGGCTGGGGCATGCCCAAATAATCTCCTCCCCCTCGGGGTGCATGGGAGCATCAGTCACACCCCCCCGGCCCGGGCTTCTTTGGTCGGTGGTGAATTATTGGGTGGTTTGGTTTGTTTTACCCCCCCCCCCCACCCCCGGCAGGTAAAAGCAGTCTGACGGAGAAGGGGGAGGTGACGGCAGCAGCAGTGTGTGCCAGCTGCAGGGTGCCTGCCCAGGGTCACAGGACGCTGGAGCTGGCCCTGGCTTGGGACATGCCCCGTGTTCACTTTGGCTCCAAGGAGAAGCTGCACCACAGGTGGGTGGGTTATCTCCGGTGGGGCTCGGCTCATGTCCCCAAAGCCCCCTTTCTTGGCATGAAGGCCAGCTGGGGAGCCTGGTGCCACCCCTGTGGCCGTGGCCCTGCCAGCTCACGGAGGGGACCCTCTCCCCAGCCCCAGCTCCTCAACACCCCTGCACTGGCAGTTGCGTTATTCTGCTGTTCATTATAGCCCAGCCCCTCTCCCGTGACCGGGTGGGCTTCCCAGCCTGAGCCTGCAGCGTACTCACCAAACCCCTGCTCGGCAGGCGGTACACCCGTTTTTTTGGCAGCGGAGGCGATGCCGCTCCTGCCCTGTCGCATCACGCACTGACACACTATGAAGAGTGGGAGAGGAAGATCGAAGCGTGGCAGAACCCCATCCTAGAGAACAGGTAGGGTAGATGGGAGCACCTTCCCGGTGGCCTCCTGGGGCTGGTCAGAGCAGGAGCATCACCACCTCAGCTGCTGTGGTTGACTTTCCCTCTTGCCCGCAGCCAGCTGCCTTCCTGGTACAAGTCGGCCCTCTTCAATGAGCTGTACTTCATGACGGATGGGGGGACCATCTGGGTGGAGCTGCCCCCGGACTCCTGTGCCGAGGACCTGCAGGGGCCAGTGGGGGCTGGCCTCTCCCACCTCCTCCCTGTCCTCCGGGAGTATGGAAGGTTTGCTTATTTGGAAGGTAACTTGCAGGGACGTGATGGATGGTCCCAACTCAACCCCTCCCTGTTGCTGTCATCAGTTGTTTTTAACCTGCTGTGGGGATGCTTTTCACACGCTGATGGGTAGGGAGCAGCGCTGTTCCCAGCAAAACCCCTTGCAGGACCAAGCCCTGTAGGATATGGCATGAGGTCTTCTCCAGACCCCTGGGTGCTATATGTAGAGAATAAAACCCACTGTGCTGGGAAAGAGCCCACCCTCCTGGGCCACATGGGAGGGAGGGCGTGCCCCTCCTTTCCCCTCCCTGTGGCAGGTCTCCTATCCCTCACTGTCTCCCCGGTCCTTCCAGGCCAGGAGTACCGGATGTACAACACCTACGATGTCCACTTCTACGCCTCCTTTGCTCTCGTCATGCTGTGGCCCAAGCTGCAGATCAGCCTGCAGTATGACATTGGTGAGTGACCCAGGAGACCCTGGCTTGATGCCTGCTGATGTCTTCACCTAGGAAAGAGACGACAGATTTGGGACAGCGTCTGCCATAGCAATCTGTGCCGTGGAGCCAGCATCCCCCTCCAGCTCTTCTACTGGGCCCAGGACTTGCAAACCCCCAATGTTGCTGCCTCTCAGCATCTCTCTGCCCAGCACTGGGATGCTTCTTACCTTCTTACCAGTCTTCTTACCGCACTGGGTGTACACAGCTGGCTCTGCCTGCCTTGGGGGAGTTCCTGGTCTTACCAGCTCTCCCTGTGCTCCTTGCAGAAGAGAAGCATGGAGCTGTTTGCAGACCCTGATGCTTTGGGTGGGCTTGGACACTGCTCAGTGGTGGCCCAACCAGTGGTGGAGCAACAGCCCTTTGCTGGGCTGTGGAAGGGCAGAGCCCACTGGGGTTCCCTCCCAGCCCTGGGTGCTGCCACCACCTTACTTAAAGGAGGTGGTGACAGTTGCATGTCCCCTGCTGAGGGGAGACTGGGAGCAGCCTGGTGTCCCCTCAGCCCTTTGCAGAGGACTGTGATCTTGCAGCCGGAGCCCCAAAGGGCAGCCTGGCATGCTGCTGCCAGCAGCCCTGCCTCTGCCTGTGTTTGGAGCTTGCTGTGCCTGCCACCTCTCTGATATCTCTTGCTCTGTGTCCTCTCCAGCTGTCACAGTGGTGAATGAGGATGTCCAGCCCCGGCAGTACTTGATGTGTGGCCAGACAGCCCAGGTGAAGCTGAAAAATGTGGTGCCGCATGACATTGGGGACCCAGGTGAGGGCTCTGGCTGGGTCTGGTGGGGGGCTGAGGAGGTGCGGGACTGCTCACACAATTTTCTCACGGTAGTTAACTCTCAAGCTGTGAGAAGGAAGTATGGTGCATGGAATACACTATTTGTTTTCTGGGAATGAAAAGCTTGGATGGTTTGGGGTGGTGATGAAGACCATGCTGCATGGAGCTTGTACAAGGGAGGCGGAGGGAAGCTGAGCAGTAGTGGGAAGGCTGCTCTCACTAGAGATGGCACAGGGTGCAACATGTTATTTTGGTGCTGTTTGATCACAACACCCTTGGGACCTTGCTCCTGGGTAAGAGAGGGGATGTTTGTTGCTTGCTGCCCTGCTGCATCCGCTCTGTCCTTGCCTAGGTGATGAGCCATGGCAGCGTGTCAATGCCTACCTGATGCATGACACGGCTGACTGGAAGGACCTCAACCTGAAGTTTGTGCTGCAGGTGTACCGCGACTACTACCTGACACACGACTCCCTGTATTTGCGGGACATGTGGCCAGTCTGCCAGGTACTGGGAGGAGATCAGACCATAGGGCATCCCGCCCTTCTTGCTTCCCTTGGGAGCCATGTGACATCCCAAGAGGATGGATGCTCCCAAGCAGAGCATGAGGGGCAGCCAGGATGCAGGGGCTGCGTGACCATCTCCTGCTTCTCCTGCAGGCTGTGATGGAGTCAGAGTTGAAGTTTGATACGGATAACGATGGGCTCATTGAAAATGGTGGCTTTGCTGACCAGACATACGATGCGTGGGTGGTAAATGGAGCCAGGTGAGCAACAGAGGCAGGTGGAGGTTGGAGATGGGGAGCATGGGGTAGGGAGGTAGCTCAGAGCTGGGACAGTGGTCCCCATCTCTTGTGGGAGCTCCACGCAACTTGTAGGGTGTCCCATGTTGCCGACACTGCTCTCCTTTTGCTCTGGCAGCGCATACTGCGGCGGGCTGTGGCTGGCAGCCGTCTGCATGATGTGCAAGATGGCAGAGGTGCTTGGGGATGCAGAGATCCAGCAGAAATACAAGGACATCCTGAGCAAGGGCAAGGAGGCGTTTGAGAGGATGCTCTGGAATGGTGGGTGCTCGCTGGTGGGGAGCAACACTCGGCTAGCCATGTGTCCCTTGGGAGGGGGATGGCTCCTCCGTGGGTCATGGAGCCTTGCAGAGGGTGGGGGAAGGAGGGGACAAGCAGAGGGGAAGGAGCAGGTACCAGGGAGGGAACAGAAAATGTAATGGTGGTTTGGGAAAGGAAAGAGAGGCAAGCCTTCTAGAAAAAGCTGACTTGCTTCTGCCTTGTGGTCTGGAGTGCTGGGACAGCACACATGAGTGGGGGTCATAAACTATGGATTTAAAACTGCTTCCTGCCTTTTTTCCAGGAAAATACTACAACTATGACAGCAGTGGGAGTGACACTTCCAGCAGCATCATGTCAGACCAGTGTGCCGGGCAGTGGTTTATCGGGGCTTGTGGTCTGGACCAAGGGGAGTTTGAGGTAGGAGAAGGGGCAGCCTGATGGAGGGTGGGGTGAGACGGGACCTACACCTGGAGGAGAGCAGTAGGGCTGGCACAAGGCATGGGCTAAGTGTTAGGGGCTGGTGCAGGGGCTCCAGCCTGCTTCCCTGCAGCAGTGTGTGCTCAGGTGAAGGCTGTTGGATGCACATGAGTGCAACCTGCCTTAAACCAAAATGTCATGGAGAGGCCGTGCAGCAGCGGTGTGTAACCGCCCTCAGCTCTGGCACACTTGAAGATCCCATTTGGCAAGGCGCTATTCATTTCAGAATGGGAGAAAAAAGTGTATGAAGCTTTCCACATGTTATTTGCTGCCCATTTTAAAGTCCTAAATGAATATCCAAGGGAGCTAAGGCTTATTTGGGGCTCTAAAGTCTGTTGCCCTTCAGTTGCAAGAGAAGAATTGGCTGAAGACTCCTTGTCTAATGAGATGGTAAGAGCAGCTGCTGGTGGTGCAATACCTGGAACAGAGCTGGGAAGCGGAGAGCCATTGTATGGATTATTTATGACCCACAGACAATTGTCAGACCAAAGCTCTCTGTGGTGCTGATGGACAGGCAAACACTTTGGGTGACTGGAGGGAGGAATGACTCGTGGCTGTGCGAGGGTGGTGGACCATTTCACTATCTGTTGGTACCAGAGGGGAGCTTCAAGTGACCTTTCCCGAGAGCCACTTGTGCTGAGTGCTGTGGGATTTAACAAGAAATGGGCACTTGGTTGTGCCCTCCTGCATTTATCCCAGTGTGGGTCCCTAGAGCATGGGGGCTGGGGCTGGGGCTGCAGGCAGGATCTGGCCCAGACCTCATGCAGTAAAACCCAAACATCCCTTTTGGAGGGAAACAGTAAACCTGGTACAGTCCAAAAATCTTGCTTGCCTTGAGCTTTTGTTGCTGAAGGTGGCACTCTTTGCTGGCTGCTGAGCTTTGAGCTCAGTGGAGATGGGAGTGGTGAACTGATTAGATTGGATATTAGGAAATACTTCTTCACGGAAAGGGTAGTCAAGCGTTGGAACAGGCTGTCCAGAGAGGTGGTGGAGTCACCATCCCTGGAGGCATTCAAAACATGGGTAGACGTGGCACTTTGGGACATGGTTTAGTCTAGTCTATCCTTAATTGGTTTAGTGTGGACTTGGTAATGTTAGGTTAATGGTTGGACTGGATGATCTTAAAGGTCTTTTCCAACCTAAATGATTCTATGATTCTCTCTTCTGTTACCATGACCATTGAAGTTTTTTCCCCATGTATTTTGATCCCTTGCCTGGCTGGCAGCATTCCTGTTTGTAACCTCATTAACTCACTGCTGCTGTATGCACAGGTCAGTAATGAAATACAAAATAGGAAAAGCCTGTGACCTCAGTTCTGAATAAACTGTGCCCCAAAATCTTCTGCCAGAGATGACCACTTCATGCCCACCCCTCTGCTGACTCCTGCTCCCTAACAGCGGTTGGGCTTATCTCCAGAGCCACACTAGGAAAAATGACTGTCAGGTGCTTGGCTTTAGTGTAGATGAAAGAGATCTGCTGCCTTTCCTTTGAGCCTACCAAAGCTGTCTGGTTGGGCTGCCCAGCCTACCTGGGCAAGCTCCTGTCTGGTGTCATCGCATCTCCTGCTTCCCCTGGCTTTGGTGGCACCAGGCTGGCAAAAAAGGTCTGGAGCTGCCTGGCTCTTCTCTTTCTTGCAAGTAGATGTCATGGTTGCTCCGTGACATTGCTCCTGATCTTGGTCACCCTGCCAAGTTCTTGTTACGGCTTTCTCATCATCAGGTGGGCGTGAGATGGAGATGAGCCAGCCCTTCCCTTCATCAACCCCAACATCACTGAGTCTTGAGCTTTTTTTCTCTCACCGCAGCTGTGACTTTTGCTGCACTGACACCTCCTAGTTTTATTGCCAATAATGAAAGTGGTGCAAAAGCTGTATTTACTTTCAGCTTTGCACAGAGGCTTTTCACTTAATGCAGTGCTCACTGCATTGCTGCTCCGCAGCTTTTTGTTTGGCTGGCAGGTGTTTTCATGCTCAGGTGGGGTTGGTTGGGTTTTTTTTGTTTGTGGGGCTTTTTATTTTTTTCTTCTCTTTTGGCAAGAGCTTACTCAGCATGGTACTTCAGTGTGTTCTCGTAACTGTTTTGAGCTCTTGGCCTTGTTTGTTGAATAACTTCTTTTTTTTTTTCCTCTGCCTTCCTGGAGGAGGAAGGTATTTAACTCCTGATAATCTCCTGAAATGGCTGTTTATCCAGTCAGCACTATTGACCTTCTGTGAGTCTTTAACTTCCGCTTGAGATAAGTTTCAAATCTCTCCTACCACATGCAGAAAACCATCAGGCACCTCATTCTGACCTCTTCATCCCCAGGCTGCTCCATCTCTCACCTCAAACTCCCTGTGGTCCAGGCCACAAACTCTTGCACTACCACCCAATTACAGAATTGGAAGGATTAAAGGCCTTTTGAAATGACTCAAAACTAAGCCCTGTTTTTGTTTTTCCCCTGAGCTGAAGCTGAATTTTCTTTTTTCTTTCCCCTTCTCAAGATTCCCAGCATTTACCCAAACAAACCTACCAGTATCCACAACATTCACTTTGCAGCTGCAAGATGAATTCTGATGTCATCAGACTGGCTTTGCCATAATGTTCCCCTTTGGCAGGACGATACTTCCAGCCTCACTGGTCCCAGACAACCCTTTGGCCGCTTCTGGCCAGCATCCCATCTCTTGTAGGCATTGCAATGCCTCTTGTAGCTGGTGTGGATGGGCTGAGAGAACAGCACAGTGGTTTTACCAGGAGAAAGTCTGGGCCCCAAATACTTGTTAGCCTGAGAAATGAGCAGTGGTGAACACAAACCAAGATGAGGATGGTGTGGTTGCCCAGGTGTCCAAAGTAAACTCCCAAGAGATGGCACGGGGGGGTGGGGTGGGGTTGGCCAGTGACTGAAGGCGAGAGGCTGTTTATGGAGACATGCTAGTTCGATGACTTGTCGGCCTCCCTAGGAGGAAGGCGGAATGAAGTTCCTATTTTCTGTTGAGCAACTGTGCTTTTTTTGTTTGTTTTTGTCTTTTCAAGGAAAGACACTTTACTTCCTTGTGTTATTTTCCTGAGGTGGCTATTACCCAGTGAGCAGTGTTGACCTCTTCCTAATGGAAAACTTAACTCTGTTCCTGGAGACCCAGCCTGAGGGCTCTCTGTGAGTGCTGAGCCCAAAGCCCTGTCTCTCTCTATGCAGGTCTTCCCCAAGAGCCATGTTGTCAGTGCGCTCAAGACCATCTTTGAGAAGAATGTCATGAGCTTTGCTGGTGGCACCATGGGAGCAGTGAATGGCATGAGACCTGATGGAGTGCCCGACACCTCCAGCGTGCAGTCCAATGAAGTGTGGATCGGCGTGGTCTATGCCTTGGCTGCCACCATGATCCAGGAGGTGAGTGGTGATGCTGCATCCCTCAGCACGTGCCATCTCCTTGCACTCTGTGCATGGGCTGATGGTTGTGTTCCCTGTGCTGCAGGGGCTGGTGGAGGAAGGCTTTCATACGGCGGAGGGCTGCTACCGGATGGTTTGGGAACGGCTGGGCATGGCTTTCCAGACACCAGAGGCCTATCGGGAGAAGAAAGTCTACCGCTCGCTGGCTTACATGCGGCCCCTTAGCATCTGGAGCATGCAGCTGGCCTTGGAGCGCAGAGCTGGCCGAGCACCTGCGCAGCCCCCCCAGGTTCCCATCCACCCTTGAGCATGGTGGCACTGAGCAGGGCAGCGGGTGCACTGGGGGGCCGGGGGGGCCTCAGCTGGCGGGTAGGGACCCTTCCCTCCCACTCCTTGATAATGCTCACATTGCTGTTTTCCTTCCCTACCTCCACTACACGCCCTTCACCTCAAGGGCCTTCCAGCCACCGATGCTGAGCACGAGGGGGGACCAGAGGTGCGGGTGATGTCTCCTCGGAAAGAAGAGGGGTGGGATAAGGAGGCTCTGCTCGAGTCTCTGCCTCCCCTTCCCCATTGCTCAGGGCTCTGACAGCCTGCAGGACCCCCAGCCGTCCTCCACCAGAGCTGGTACCTTGCCCAGAAGCACAGGAGACCTCACTCCTGCAGTCAGTGGGCTGGGTAAGGTGGGAGCTGGCCTGCAGCGCAAAAAGAAGGAGAAAAAAAAAAAAAAAAAAAAAAGTGTGGGTGTGTGTGAGGACATTGGACTGGTGCTGTAGTTGTGCCTCTGTTGTGTGACACTGCGAACACGGATGGGCTCTGCCCCAAGCCACCAGCCCCGGGAGAGCCTGCGGCAGATACAATCCCCAGGGTAGCCCCAGCTCCCTCGCCCGTGACAATCGGAGCCCAAGCAGCAGGTCCTGGTCTGGTACCACGGCACACCTCCCTGCTGGCGCCGGGGGCGGGCAGCAGAGCATGTTTTAGAGGATCAATCATTTTAAGTTCTTAATAAATTTGTCTGGCCGTCTCTCCTTCTTGCGTGTCTTCTCTGCCATGGGGGCAAGCTGGAGGAGGGAGCCCCTGTTGGTCCCCCTTCCTGGGCTGCTGGGGAGGCAGGGGGGCAAGCCCTAATTGCAGGCTGGCTCTTGTGGGGTTTTGCTAATGAGAGCAAGATGTGCCTTCCCCTCTGCCCACCTCCTCCTGCCCCCCACATGTGATGGCAGGAGAGCCCTGCCCCTTGCTCTGTCTGCTGTCTCTAAGGCAGGGGAAGGCACGGAGCCTAGCTTTCCTCCTGAAAATGCCTCTGTGGGGAGCAGCGGTGCCCAATCGTGTCCCCTCCCGCCCAGGGCTGGGCACCTTGCTTCCTTTTCCTCCTTTCTCTGCCAGCACAGCATTTGAAGGCTGCACCTGGCTGATCTTGAGGGGGGTGGGAGGGGGCCTTGCCCCCAGGTTTGGCTACACCATCTTTCTGTCCACTTTAAAGCTCTTTGCACCAAAGCCTTCCCTGAATCCTTAGGGGCTGTCAGGGCTGGGGTGGGAAGTCCTTTCCCCCTCTGACTGTCACCCCCCTAGCCCTTGCCTGCCCTGGGAGCTGGGGCAGGCAGGGCATCGCCATGGTGGCCCGGTGTTACCAGTGGGTGATAAATGGCCTTTTCTTCGCTCCCCAGGGGAGTGTTCCTGCATCCGCCTGGGCAGAGGAATAATGTTATCCGGGAAGGGCAGGCTGTCCCGGATGCGGCCCCCCTGGGCCAGCCGGTGTTGTCCTCCCATGGCAGAGGCCACAACCAATGGAGAGGGACCGAGATTCTCTCCCTTAGGGTCACCGCGGCGAGGCTGGAGGGAGATGGGTGTGCTAGGACACTGGCACGGATCACCTGGGCTGCCTGCCTCCATTTGTCTTGTGTTGGCAGCCACCGGGGACGGTTACGTCCTGATCCAGCTGGCACGGGACAAAAGCAGGTACCAAAGCCAGCACAGCTTCTGACCAGGCTGGGTTTTATTATTGCGACCCGCCAGCATTGCTCCTTAACCCCAGGTGACAGGTTGTCCGCAGACTTTCTTTCAAAGGTTGGGGCATTTAGCCTGTATCAAGGGATATTTCTGCGCTTTCCTCCTCTTTTGACTGCATCACCTCAATAAAACTTGTATCTGATGATAGGCTCAGCTTTCAGCAGCTTCTGCGTGGGCATGGCTGCGGGCTGGGAGGACAATCCTTGGTTACAGACGTGATTTTTCTCTAACAATTGCCTGTTCTACTATTTTTCAAGGCTGACTCAATCCCAGCTTAAGCAGCAAGTCTAATTAATTATTCATTAACCCTTTCTTCTTATTATTCATTAACCCTTTCTCGACCCCTGACATGCATGGGTTTAAACCACAGCCCTGCCAACTTTTAACTTCTTCAGCACTTTCTGCTTTGGACTTCTTCCCCACCTGCCCATTCCCCCTTGTCCCCTCCCTGCTGCACTAGGGCTCAGGCATGGCATCTCAGGATTTAGCCATGGTAATGATTGCCAGACCCGAGCCGCTTCGCTGGCTGCCCTTTGGAGGGTGCAAACCCTGTGGAGATACCCCAGCTCTTGGCTTGTTTTATTTTTGACTTGGCTGAGACTGGTCAAGAAATCTACCTCCTTGAGCAGTGAGCTGATCCCCGCACCTGCAAGATACACCACTGTGATAGGGATTGTTAAATACAGGAAAAATAAAGGTTATGGGTAGATAGCACCAATATTGTTAGTGTGATGCTAAAATAAACCTACAGCTGTAAATGAGCTGTGAGTTGCCAGCAGCAGCGGTGCCAGCATGGAGACCTTGTGTTACCCATCCCCGTGCCCACCCTTGGCCACGGGGTCCCTTGTGTGAACCAGGGTGATGCAAGGGGATGTTGGCAAGGCAGTGATGGTGAGGGGGTGATGGCTGCCCCTCCTGCCCCCTGCAACCTTCCCAGAACAACTGTGCTCATAACCACAAACCTCGGCCACACTCCAGGCAGCGCCTGCCTGCCGAAAAAACAGCCAAAGCAAACAGCAGCTGCGTGGGAAAACATACCTTGTCATGCAGTTAAGTTCTAAGACAGAGGGAAGCAAACACTGAGGCAGAAATTTCCTGCAGGCAGCCAGCTTTCTGGCTGGGAACTGTTAGGGGCAGAGGTGTGAGAGGGCTGTGGGTCTCCTGCAGAGAGAAGAGAGGGGTGCTGAGATGCAAGCGGCAGAAATGCAATGCTCCCCAGCCTTGGTAATGATGGATTTTACTGTCAGAGAGAAACAGGGGCTCAAATGTGAGCCTAAAGGGAAAGCAAAATTTGGGAAGTATTTCTGAGATGTTGCAAAGAGTTTCCTTGCTTCCATTGTAAGAAAAGGAGCATTTTCTGGTGAATAGGGCTCCATCAGCTCTTGCTGTGATGACTGGGGGAATTAAAACACACATATTTTAGGAGACTGCCTTGAAAGTCATTGAGGAATAGGTGAGGAAATCTGGTGTGAACCGAGCCACTTCAGCCTGCCTGGCCAGCAACAGCTATAATGTAAGGGGAATTGTATAAATATGTACTTAAAGTTATTTAAGAATCCCTGTGTAAATACAAAAAGCAATAAAATGCGACATCCAAGATATTTGGGGAATGTTTGTTTTTCATAAACAAAATAATTTCCTTTCAACAAAAGCCAGTTTGTAAAAACAGCAGCAAACCTTCACGCCAGACCGAGGCAAGGGTAGACTGGGTGCTTTGTAGCCTGATCTGTGGCTGCTTCAGTACTGGGTGGGAATAAAGCAAAGCCCTGAAAGGAGCCTGGTGCTGGGTGGGTTTGCATGAGGATGCCTGGTGAGGAGGAGCAGGGTGAGGCCATGTGCTGTGGCTAATCCTGGGGTGCATTTGGGTTAAGGCTGCTTGGCACCCCTATGTACCCCTACGCACCCCGGGCACGGCAGTGGGGTGGCAAATAGGTGGCAGGAGGGACAACAGCCCCTGAGAGGGGTTTTCCCCTGGCTAAGCATCCATCCTGGCAGTCACTGACTGCAGGAGCCAAGGCTTCCCCACAAGGTGCCAGGGAAGCATGAGCAAGAAGGGACAGTTTCAGCAGGCACTTCTGCAACCACCCTCTGTAACGGCTGGAAACTGAAAATTTGGAAACACCCAGATTGCACAACACTTTGGCTGGAGCTGCCACCCGCAGCCCTGGCAGCAATAAAAAGGCAAGAGAGCAGGAGCGTTGGCAGAGCCCTGCAAGGACCACATCCCCGGCTACACCAGCTGTCTGTCCACTGGAGAGATGGTGCAAATGACTCTCTTCCTCCTGGTGCTCAGCCTGGCCCTGGTGGCTCCCAGCATATCTGCAAGAAAGGTAACGGCAGGGCTGGGATGCACGGGGCAGGGTGGGCAGGGGGGCTGTGGCTCTGGGGGCTGCCCGCTTCTGCCACCCTGCCTGTGCCCAGTCTGGGCTGTGGCACCAACTCTGAGTCCCCTCCACTCCAGTGCACGCTGACCGGGCGCTGGGTCAACGACCTGGGCTCCAACATGACCATCATGGCTGTGAACGAAAAAGGTGACTTCGACGGCTCCTACTACACGGCTGTGACAGCCACTATGAACAAGATCCAAGAGTCACCGCTGCAGGGGTCCCAGCACCATACGAATGAGGAGAGCCAACCCACCTTCGGCTTCACCGTCCACTGGAGCTTTTCAGGTGCTTCTCCTTTCCCAGTCTCCCTGCGGTGTCCCCAGAGCTCTCCTGCCCTCCCTGTGTTGTCCTTGATGCTATTCTGCCCTCCCCTGCAGTGTCCTTTGCGATCCCCTGCCTTCTCCTGCGGTGTCCCCAGTGCTCTCCCGTCCCCTGTGGTGTCCCTGGTGCTCCCCTGTCCTTGATCCTGGAGCTCCTTGGCTGGCGTCACCTCCCAGTCCCAGGGCGCAGAGGATGCGCTGGGGGCTGAAGCCCGTTGCTGTCCACCCATCTCCCTGTGAGACTCCCAGCCCTCTGACCCCTCCTGCCTGCTTTTCCCATCACCGCTGTCCCCAGAGGGCAGGGACAGCCTGGGTCTACTGTCCCCTGTGCTGGGGCAGGCTGCAGGGCCACGGTTTGGCACTGACCTGCCACCCCGGCCACACGCACCTCCACTTCCCACCCTGTCCCGGCAGACTCCATCACCGTCTTCACGGGCCAGTGCTTTGTGGACGAGCATGGAAGGGAGATTTTGAAGACCATGTGGCTCCTGCGGTCACACGTGGACAACATCAACCACGACTGGAAAGCCACCAGGTGAGCCCTCTGTCCCTGCCCCCGTGGGTCCCCTTCACATCCGCACCCCACGGTGCGCAGCGCCCGGCAGAGCTGCTGCCAGTGTGGGGGTGACCAAGGATGGGGTCCTCATGCATGGCCTCCCTGGGGGTCCCGCCACGGTGCAAACACTGCTGGGGGGGTGGGATGGGGCTGGGTGGGCGTTCGGCACTGGGAGAGTGCATTGACAAGAGGAAACGGGCTTAAGCTGCACCAGGGGAGGTTTAGGTTGGAAATTAGGAAAAATTTCTTTACAGAAAGGGTGGTCAAGCATTGGAACAGGCTGCCCAGAGAGGTGGTGGAGTCACCATCCCTGGAAGTGTTCAAAAAACGGGTAGCACTTCAAAAAAACGTTTCAAAAAAACGGTGGCACTTCGGGACATGGTTTAGTCTAGTCTACCCTTGATTGGCTTAGAGTAGACTTGGTAGTGTGGGTTAATGGTTGGACTGGATGATCTTAAAGGTCTTTTCCAACCTAAACGATTCTATGATTCTATGATTTGCCCTGTGCAAGGGTGCATTTCCCACCCTTACGTCTCCTCCTTCTGCATCTCCGCAGGGTTGGCATAAACATCTTCAAGCGCCTACAGCAGAAGCAGCAGGAGTGAGGGTCGCAGCGCGGCAGTTCCCAGGCCAGCAGCAGCACCGCGGGTGCAGACCCCCCCCTCTCCTGCCCATCACCTGCTTCTCCCAATAAAGCTTTGCTGCAAACACCCACCTGGCTCCTGTTGTGTTGTGGTTCAGCGCCCACGTTCTCCCATCCCCCCCAGTTATCCCATGGCCTCTCCTTTCCCCAAAGCCCAGTGTATGTCCCCTGCTG